GAAAACCGCAAAACAATAGTGATACAGGATTTCAAGAGAGGATGATAGGAATTTAACAATGGTTGTTTTATTATTGTTACCTTCAGAAGAGTTGCTTAGATTATGAGATTATAGGCATGCAAGCTTTATCAAACAATATGAACACTGAAGGTTTTTTTGGGGGGAGGGGTTTGAGAGTTCATACTTAAGACCTCATGCTTGCCAGAGAGGCATTGTGCGGCTGAGCTATATCCCCAGCCCAAAGGTTATTTTTTTAAAGACACTGTAATCTAGGCTGGCCTTGAATTTATGGTAATGATACTCCTACCTCAGCCTTCAGGCTGCTGGGATTATAGGCATGCCCCACCATGCTGGCAAATGGATTTTAATATATAGTGCTTTCCTAACTTTTTGCCATATACTCAGTTAATATTCTGCCACTTCATAGAAATTGTCCAGTTATTTAGCTTCTCTTTGCATTTGCCTTCACTATTCCCCACAGTCGTAATATGAAGTACATCTGCATACATTATAAAAACTTTTGCCTTAGTAATAGGTAATTTTTAAAATTTAAGGAGGTAATATTTGATATTTACCTGGATATCTCTCTTTCTCAAGTTTTACCTCTGTTGTATTTACTTTTGACCTAAATAACTTTCTTATAGTGCAGCTCTATTTGCCACTAAATTCAGTTTGACTAGCTGTGGTGGTCCACTCTGTAGTCTCAGCACTTGGGAGGCTGAAGCAGAAGGATTGTCGCCAGTTGAAGGTTAGCATGGACTACGTACTGAGCTAACGATCAACAAGACACTGCCTCAAAAGGCTAGATAAATGTTTTCATTTCCTTGAAACTGTCCTTATTTTGATTTTTTTCTTTTCTTTTTAATTGATATTTTTCTTTCTTGAGAATGTTTTCATTAGATGTACAGTAGGGTTGACTTACTTTTGCTGTTAGCGTTTTTTAAGCTGTTCACTTATCTTAATGACTTGCACCATTTGTGATGAGAACTCTGTGGTCATCGCCCAGTTGATGTTTCTCTGCATATGATAACACTGTTTTTCTCTGATTGGCTTTTGTCTTTACTTTCCAGTCAGTTAGAATACATCCCAGTGTGATTTGTCTTTGATTTTATTGTTATTGTGGTTCAGTGAACTTTTTAGATTTACACATTCATCTTCTATTAAATTTCTAAAATTATTAATCATCATTTCTTCCATGTATTTATCTTTTTCTCTTTTGGAAATCATAGGTGCTCATCAGACCTTTGGAGATTGTCTACAGCTTTGTGAGACTTTGTTCTTTTCTCCTGTCTTTTTCATTCCTCCTTTTCTGCGTTTTTTTCATCAGATTACATACTTGGTCTTATTGATCTTTTAGTTTATCAAGTCTTTCAACTCTTTTTATTCTAATTTTAAAATAAAGCCCACCCACGGATTTTTTTTCCAGAAGATGTACTTTTCATTTTAAATTTTTGATTTTGTTATCTCTTCACTATCTTCTTTCATTGAATTTTCATTCAAGTATTTATTTCATTGAGCATAATTATAATACCTACTTTAAAATCTTTGTCTCAGCTGGGCATCGTGTTGCACACTTATAATCCCAGCACTGGATAGGCTGAGGTAGGAGGATCTAGTTTCAACTGCATAGTGAGACCCTGTCTTAAAAAACAAAAACAAGGGCTGGGGATTTAGCTCAGCGGCATAAATGCCTGCCTTGGAAGCAGGCAGTCTGAGTTCGATCCCTGGTACCAATCAAAAGACAAAAACAAAAAAAAAAAAAAACAAAACCAAAAAATCTTTATCTGATAATTCCAGCATCTTTTGGCATGGACATTTGTAGATTAGGTTTTCTCTTAAAAATGAGCTCCATTTTCCTGTTTCTTATGTTAGTAATGTTGAATTGTTTCTGGATGTTGTGGATGTTATGTTTTATATACTCTAGATTCTGTTAAAATCTTCTGTAGAATATTGATATTTTTATTTTAGCTGGAATTGACTTACGTTAGACTCAAACTGTAAATTCTTCCTCTTGTCTTCTCAAGGCAGTGGCTCCAATTTGAACTGAAATCCTTTTTTCTTCTAATTTGTACTTGTGTATTTTAGGAATCAGCCTAAAACTTTTCTGGTGTTTAATACACAAAATTATGGAATCTCTTTTGACTTTCTTCCAGTATGGAATTCTCTTTTCTATCTGTTGTGGTTATTTTAACCTGAGCTCTTTCCCTTGTTCACCTTGACAGAAAGATAGTTTTAGGTCTTCATACCTCACAGCTTCTATCCAACCATGGGGCAGAGCTGCAGCGAAATAGGAAATTCATCCAGTTGCTGATCTCCCCAAGTTTTGACTTTTTGCCACAATATATCTGTTTTATTTATTCTTTAGAAACTTAAGGTAGCTGAGCCACTATCACTGCTACCATAGTTTGTAGTTGTTAATAGCAGAAGATTGGTTTGTAACAGTGTTACACTGCCTTATTTCAAGTGGAACTTGAATGAATAAGAACTCCAGAATGGACCTTTCACAGACTGACTGATACTATCCACATTAGGTTCATTGATACTACCTTTGTCTACCATTTGAATTTATGGTTGTAGTAATAACAGTTTATCATTTTGCCTAGACCCACTAGCTTTACTAATCAAAGTACTTGCCTATTAATAATATAGAATCAATGTACCTGCATAAAAATATCTACTATTAAGAACATCTATGCTTGTAGAGGTAGTGCCCTTTACTGACTATTGAAATATAAAAGTATCCATGATTTTCAAAATTTACTAAGGAATCATAACTGACTGAATCTGACTTCAGGGAATTCAGTGCATCATTAAAAGTGTTTCCTTTCTCATCAATTAGTACAGGGTGTTCCTTTGCATATTCTGGCATCAATGGCAGATAGATTCTAGTGTTTAGCACAATATCTATGATTTCTTATGTATTTCAGGTTCAGTGCTAAGTGTTTTACATGAATTACTTGATTAATGGTCTTAAATGTCTAAAGGCAGTGGCACAATCCTCTTTTTATATAGGAGGAAGCCAGCAAAAAGTTTGAGTGATTTGCATGAAATCATAGCACAGGTTTCCCTTTTCATACCAGTAAAGAGCAAGAATTAATGACCCAGAAGTCTGACTGAGATGACTAAGTTGAGTTAGAGGAACAGTTTTCCAAAGGAGTCCTCTGTATTAACTCACATATAGCTCAGTTGGCTGGCACTAAAATCAAACCGTAGACAGAACTTTTTTTTTTTTTTTTTTTTTTTGTCTTTTTCGGTACCAGGGATCGAACTCACGACTGCCTGCTTGCAAGGCAGGCACTTATGCCACTGAGCTAAATCCCCAGCCCCCGACAGAACTATTTTTATGGTTCTTTCAACTTCTTTTCTGGATCCCTTTTCTCTTTCATCTCATTCTCAGTGCTTATGTTTTCCTTCTTCTAAACAACCCTTAGGTTGTTTAGATTACCTGATGAAAGGAATCCATACTAAGGAATTTAGTGATAAGAGATTGACCTCTGCAATGTGTCTCAATTAAATTGTTCTTTTGCTATTTTGGTATCTTTGGGTTTTTTGCTCTTGTTTTCTTTTTTCTTTTTTATTTCACAGTGCCAGATATGTAACTCATGGCCTTGTGTATGCTAGGCAAGTATTTTAGCACTGAGCTATATCCAAGCCATAAGTATTACCTTTTAAAACTGTGTTAAGTTGGTGTCAAGTGTGGGTCCAGTGTTTTCCAAAGAGAAATGTGCATGGCACTGACCTCCTTGCCATTCGGTACTCATCTTTACCTTTCTTGACTTCATCACTGAGGCTAACTCCTGGGTGCTCATGGAAGGGAGCAAGGGGAGAGGGTATTCAAAATAATAAATGCAGAAAGTCACCCTTTTTTAAAATTAGTACATGTTTGTGGGTAATAATCACATTCCTTCTGAGGAGTTGGTATGTGTACATAATATATCTTAATTTTTTAAATCCCCTTCCTCTCCTCTAGCCTTCAGTGGTTTTTTTTTTTTTTTTTTTTTTTTGGACACTTATGTTATCTCTACGAACAGCACATATAAAACTGTGTGTGTGTGTGTGTGTGTGTGTGTGTGTGTGTATTTAGAATATTGTTCACAATATTCTCTTAAACACAAAAGAATAATAAAAAATGGTAACTGAGTGGCTTAAACAAGAGGAATTTCTTTTTCTCTCGGGTGAAAGTCTGAGCTGACAGATTGGATCAGGAGATAAATTCTGCTCAGGATCATTCAGATTCTTACCAGTCTTGTTTATTCAGCATTTTCCAGAGTATTAATACTTAAGTTTTATGGTTAAGCATAATGACCACTGTGTCTCTGTGCCAGCCCACAACAAGAGAGAATGAGATTTCAGGACAAGTCCTTTCAGAGACATGTTGCAAAATTTACAAACATAGTTGAGTATGGTGGTACATGCCTATAGTTCCAGCACTCTGAGATGAGAGACTAAGGCAAGAAGATCCCAAATTCAGGCTCATCCTGGGTAATTGAAAGACTCCGTGTCAAATAATTTTTTTAAAGGATAGACTGGGGATGTAATTTAGTGTATCAATCCCCAGTACTGTAAATTGTTGGAGAGATATTGTACACATTGTTCCTGGTTACATCTCATTAGCCAACTTTAGTCACGTGGCCACAACAAATGAGTTTGGAAAAGGTAGTCTGTAGCTATAGGGAATGGTATAGGGTTCTGTTACTAAAAGGGAGAAGAAAAGAATGAATATTAGAGGACTACTAGCTGTCTCCCCTATAGATGTTTGTTGACAGGTTTTGCCAGCCTAGCCTGTAACACATTAAAAGAGTTGTTAGGGAATAGCTATACCAGTGACTTTTGTGGTATCAGATCAGTAGCATCCTAAAATAAAGGTATTTCAGTAGCTATGTATTTTCAGAAACAATGGACAAAACTGGATGTTAGAGAACTTAATAAAATCCCTTGAAACTGTGTTAAAATCTTAGATAAATAAGCTAATAATTATTTGTTTTGTTCTTGTATTTTAGGCCTCAACTCCATATAGCATAGATTCAGATTCTTTGGGAATGGAGTGTATTATTTCGGGAAGTGCCTCTCCAACTCTGGCAATCAACACTGTGACTAACAAAGTAATTTCATTATTATTTAACATTTTTGAAATGTCCTTGAGTAATATATTTAATTTGCCTTTATAGTGACAGAGATCTATATAGATGATACAAATTTGTTTACTTTATTCATGGCCATTTACGTTAATTCTGTAATGTTTTAAGGTATGTACAAATTAGAAGAAAATGTTTCTCAGGAGAAATTAGAAGCTGTTTACTGGGAAACTGTATTAATTTAAAATCTTGACTATGCCTGTTCACATGGATAGAATTTCTGAGCCAGCATCTTATTGAATCAATTTATTTCAGAACTTTGATTACCCCTTCATATATATGGTTAAAAAAATTGTCAGATTTCAGGGAGCCAGAATAATCTAGTAAAACAAATAATTTGGACAACCTAGTAGAGTTCATTGAAGTGATAGTCAACCTGTTTTTATGATATTTAAGTCTAAGAACACATCCAGAAGCAGTGTGTGATAATTGAGGTATCTTGTGATATGAGTCAAAACTTTATGTTCAATGATTAGATATCTAGAGAGATACAAATGTTTTTTCATTATCATTTCTTAAGTCTCATATCTCACAACTCTGAAAAGGTTTGAGAGTTTCGTAAATTAAGTTTTATGTGTTGGTTTCCTCTTATGTGCAACCCTATATTTCCCCTGAAGCCATATACCTTTCATCCTCCTACTCATCTTCTCTTTCAGTCTTGTTTGTGTCTTCTCCCTTTAGCTTTTACCTTCTCTTCTTCACCTCTCCTTTCTGGCTCTCACTAGTGCTGTTGCATTGTTTTTATCTTTTATTCTTCTTATGCACACCTTACAAACTCACAGTTAAATAAATTATTGGATTAATGTAGTAGTCAAAGGCTCTTTTTGTTTAGTGACAGTCAGATACCAATGTAGAAAGAGAATCGGCAGCTAATATGTATAGAGTAATGCTTTTTTTCCACAAGGCAGGCTATGGAATTATCAGGCCACTATCACTTTGGGAGAATGGGCTGTTTATCTTTGTTTGTTGGTGGGTAATGGTAATCCTAGGATTTCAGTGCAGTCCTGCCAAATTAGTTTCTCCACCCTTGTGAATAGTGGCAAGAAATCTGTACTCCTAGAAATCATCTCTAATGATGACCAGCTAGCTGGAACAATATCTAATGAAATACATAGGTTAGGATACTGCTCTTTGCAGTATAACTCATGCTAGGATTTTCTGACCAAGTAACATGGTGTCAAAGGAGCACAAGTTTTCTAGCTTCTTTCATATGTAATGGAATAGCTAACATCAAACAAGTCCTCAAGTCTATAAAATCCCCCTCCAAGACTCATGAGAAAAGGCAAACAAATTGAGATAAGCTTTGCAAATTTTCCTGGGAACATTTTACAGATTAGACAAAACAGCGTACAGCAGTCTTCCAGTCAGAGAGACAACATTGGAGTTTAGGGCTATAAGACAACTGGATCTTGAGGAGCCAAGGCCCTGAGGAATTTCAGAAGGGACTTCAACTTTTTGTACTATGTACTTTAGACATTTACTAACTACTAGTTTTGAGTGCTTGACCTCAATCACAAAGTACATTTTCCACTAGCCAGAATTTAGCAGTCTTACCAAACAAAGGAGATAAAAATTGTAGTTCAGACCTTCAACAAAGAGAATAATGACAAGTACCCTAGGTTTCCAAGTTGTTACCTGAAAAATACTTTATTCTGTTTGAGCAAACCAAAATTGATGAACCTCTCCACATACCAAAGATTAAAATTGGACCCGTATCTTTCACCATGTTCACTAAGCTAAAATCAGAATGGATCAAAGATCTTAATATTTTTTTTTTGTCTTTTTCATTTTTATCGGTACCAGGGATTGAACTCACGACCGCCTGCTTGCAAGGCAGGTGCTTATGCCCCTGAGCTAAATCCCCAGCCCCAAAGATCTTAATATTAAAACAGAAACATTACATCTTCTAGAAGATAGAGTAGGTAAAACTCTTGAAGACATTGGTGTAGGCAAAGACTTTATGAACAAACCCCTGACTACACAGGAACTATCACAAAGAATCAACTGGGATCTCATCCTATTGAAAAGCTTTTGCACAGCAAAAAAAACCCAAAAAACAAAAAACACCAACAGAGTGAGGAGACAACCCACAATGTGTGAGAAAATATTTGCCAACTGTACCTCAGACAAAGGATTACAGTTGAACATAAAGAACTCAAAAAAATCAGTCCTGCCAGATAAAGACCGCATCTGAGATTGTTATGGGAAAATTCCCAAGTCATACCAAGCCAAGCATAAAGGAAGACTTACTCTACACTGAAGAGATAAGAAGGCAGCATTTAACGTTCACACCAGAGGACTGTTAGATTTTCACATCCGTGGACTATTGAGGGGGTAATTCCTCAAAAGCAACAGCCCTGAATTTAGGAAAAATTTAGTTCATACAGAATTTAAAAGTGATAGGTGTTAGACTATTCTGGCACAATAGAGAAGCAAAAATACAAAATGAACAAGTTTATTAAGTTGACATGGGAAAGAGCACACAACCCTTGGCAGCTGGGCTGTCACCTTCGACTGGAATATGGGGTGTGGAACATATGTAACCTTTGACCAGAGTGGTGCTTAGTGCGGTCATTGATGATGCGTGAGGAGCTGATTGGAACTGTTTTTGCCGGCACTGGAAAAAGAAAAAGGAAGTTGTAATAGGGGAAGGAGGAAGTGACCTCAAGGTAAACATCCTCTGATTCAGCCTCCCACTGCCAATTTTGTAACTTATTCTGGGGCAAAACTCTTTCAATAGATACAAGGCAAGTAGCAAAACTTTATATAATTGGTTACATACATTGAGTCATATATAGACAAGCAGGCTAGTTCTAAAACAATAGAAATGTTCTAGGAACAAGGGGAGGGGTCCTTACAGGCTGAGCACAGATAAGGGCATTACCATAATATGAAAACATTCTGGGGAAGGGCCCTTCAATTACCCCTGAGTGCCTTAATTATTCTGACTTAGTTCTCATCTGAGATATGCAGCTGGGCTGTAGACACCATCAAGGTCAGTTGAATTCAGCAGAAAAAGCAGAAACAGAAACTTGGTCAAAGATCTCCAATTGATCATGAAATATCTAAAAGTTTGCCATCTCATAAATGTATTTTTATATTATAAATGTGCCCCAACAAGATAAGTATACTTTCCTAAGATGAAATACAAACAACAAATAAATATATGACAAAATGTTCAACATCACTGGTCATTCAAGAGATGCAAATTAAAACGACACTGAAATTCTACCTCACCCAAGAAAGAATGGCTGTTATCAAGAAATCAACTGATAACAAATGCTGGAGAGGCTGTGGGGAGAAAGAAATTCTCTGCTAGGAGTGTAGACTGGTGCAACCACTGAGGAAATCATTGTGGAGATTTCTCAAAAAAATTGGATTGTATTTGACCTAGCTATTACCTTTTTGGATATCTTCCCAGAAAAATTAAAAGCATCATATTACAGCAATACATATATATATATATATATATGTATGTACCCATGTTCATAGCAGCACTATTTGTAATAGTTTTTGAAGCAACCTAAATGCTCTTCAACTGAGGAATGGATAAGAAAGATGTGGTATTTTTATACAGTGGAGTACTATTCAGCCACAAAGAGAGATAAACTGGAGACATTTATAGATAAATGGATGTAACTTGAGACCATACTCATAAGTGAAATAAATCAGACTCACACGTGTTGTAAATGTTGTCTCATTAGTGTGAGAAACCAAAAGAAACGTGTGTGTGTGTGTGTGTGTGTGTGTGTGTGTGTGTGTGTGTGAGTGATAGTTAAGATAGTTATACTACTGATTTCTCTGAGGTCATTGAAGAGAAAGATTTGTGCTAGTAACGTTCAGACAATTGAGTGCATATGTCTTCGATATAGTCTGCTAGCCTGCAATTTAGCGACATCTTCCCAACTTGGTACCGGACCCAGAGATAAACCTCCCTTTCCCTTTTTTGTGCATGTGCCAAGCTCTCTTCAGTCCCAACCTCCACTAAGCCTCCCTAAGCCTCCATCTCCAGCCCCCAGTAAATCTTTCTGTCTCCTGTTTTAACACAGGCAGATGTTCCTTCAAATCAGCAGTTTGTATGTCACTGTGCCCACCTCCCAAACTGCTTCCCCAGCCCCTTCCTTGTTCTCATTTGAGAGCCTCTGTACCCCCTGCCCCGTGAAGCTCTCCTGTGCTCACATTAAAGGCCTCCTCCTTTTTCTTATCTGTCTCATTTTCTCTGTGCTGCTGCAGATTGCATTCCCAGAACACTCAATCTTGTGCTCTGGATGAATGATTTAGGGATAGCAGTGCACAGTGTATGTGCCATTGTTGCCCCCTGATTGACATGTTTTGAAATACTATTTTTTTGGCTTTGAAATAAAATGGATTTTTAAAAAGTGATGAGTCTAAACTTTTTAGAGTAATATACAGAATTTTATTCTAGCAAGAAGGAAACTAAATGCTGTTTGGAAGAAGGTAATATCATCCAGAACTTCTAAAATTTTTCGTAAATTGTTGATCAAGGTTCCATACCTCATGAACCACTGCTCTTGGCTCCTAAAAAGTAGTAAAAGAATATGCAAGTGGTATCGAAAAATGATGACTCTTTGACTAATTAAAAAGTAAGCAAGAAGAGAGAAGAAAACGAACAAAGAGTAGACGTATTAGTAGAGATGTTTTATTAAGAAAGGCAGATAACAGCCAGATTTGTAATCCCAGCACTCAAGGTAGGCTGAGGCAGGAGGTTTGCTATGTTTGCGGATAGCCTGAACTGCACAGTGAAATCCTGTCTCAGACCAGAACAAAACAAAACAGAAAGAAAGAAAAGCAGATAACAAAGTCTAATGCTAAGTTTTGTATCTAATTACATAGTCTCAAAAGGTGATGTGGTTGAAAAAAGAAATGGACAAATCCTGTAGCACAGTGGTAGAATTGGACATTTCTCTCTGTATACTGTTGGAACAAGTAGGCTAAATTTAAGACAGCAAACAAAACTTCCATTAAAGGTGGAGGTTGGAACCACAAAAAGGAAATTTGATCCACCTGACTTACATTATAATGTTGCATCCAACAGTTGCACAATGTAATATTTTATTGACATACTGGAGATTGAACCCAGGACCTTGAGTGCGCTAGGCAGGCACTCCACCTCTGAGCTTCATTCCCAGCACCCCACCCCAAAACACGGTTTGGTTTGGTTTTTGGAGACAGGCTCTTACTATGTAGTTCAGGCTGGCATTGAACTCATTATATAGCCCAGGATAGCCTCGAACTCAAGGTGATCCTCCTGCCTTGGCCTCCTGAGTGCTGAGATTACAGGCATGCACCACTACACCCAGCTCCAAAGTACATATTTTTAAAAGTATACATTGAACAGTTACATAACCATATATTGATCTATGTTTGGTCCTAAAGGGAATCTCATCAGTTTTCAGAAGACTGACATGATACACTTTATTTTCCATTACAGTGGAATTAAGGTAGCAGTAATAAAGTACCAGGAAAGTACTCCAAAATTTGCAGGTTAAGCGTTACAGTTTTAAATAATCATAGATTGAAGAAATAGTAGAAAATAGAACACTTTGATGAAAAATACAAATAGGACATATCAAGGCCTATGAGATCTAGTTAAAATCATAGCCTTAATTATATATACAACAAGACTAAACAAAGGTTGAATAGTAAAAATGTAAGCATCTAGAAGCAGAACAACAACATAATTATAAGGAAGGCAAAAGTTAGTAAGTGAAGTCACTGAGCATATAGCAGAACACCACATGCCTGGCAAGCATGTGATCCTAAGTTTAATTCCTGGTACCAAAAAAAAAAAATCAGTGAAGTAGCAAATACTTACGTAAAATAGCAATAATCAACAAATGAGAAACTCAACATTTATGGGAATACAAAATGCGTCATGAACAAAGTAAAAATCACAGTGTCTAGTACCTAATTAAAATTTACTTGACATAAAAAAATCTCAGTGTGGAGAAAACAAGCAGTCAAAACTGACCCAGAAATGACATGCATGATGGAGTTAATGTAGAAAAGAGCAACAGTTACAGCTATTTTGTGGAGAAGCTGAAAGACACATTGAACATGCATAAATACATGGATGATAAAAGCCAGACCCTATAATCATTGTTCACTGGTGACGTGGTTGTCTATATAGAAAACTCAAAATGACTGTACAGGTAAAAACTTTAGAGCCTTTTAAAGCTTCTTTATATAAAATCTCTTTAATAAGATCTCTTGATGCAAGATCAGTGTTAATCAGTTATATTTTTATTATACTAGCCACAATCAGAAAATTTAAAAGATAATATTTGTATTAGCATTCAAAAACATCAGATAGCCGAGGGCTTAGCTCAGTGGCATAAGCGCCTGCCTGGCAAGCATGAGGTGAGTTCGATCCCCGGTACAAAAAAAAAAAAAAAAAATACTGACCAAAAACATCAAATACTCAGGCAGACATGGTAGCACATGCCTGTAATCCCAGCACTCTAGGAAGCTGAGGCAGAAGGATCTCAAATTTGAACCCTGCCCAGGTGATATTTAGTAAGACTTTTTCTCAATAAATAAATAAAAATAATCCAAAATGCTAATATAAATGAAAGATAAACTGTATACTGAAAACTAGGAGAATTACTGAGAGAAAACAAAAAAGAGATACCATTTTCTTGTAGAAGACTATTATAAAGAAGTTAGCAGTTCCCAAATTGGTTTTCAGATTTAATACAATAAAACTTTTTAAGATGTTTGTTGGAGGAAGAGAGGGGTCTAGAAAGCTACAAGCTGATCCTAAAATATGAATGGGAATCCAAATGTTCAACAATAATTGAAGAAAAATACGAAAATTAGAGGATTTACATTTCCAAATGTTAAAAGTAAAACTGTAATGGAAAGTGTGGCACAGTGCTGGCATAAGGATAGACAGACTCACTCATCCAACAGAATTAAGTGCTATCTTTCAGTGGATCTAAGACCTGAATATAAATGATAAAACAGTAAAGTTTAGTGGGACAAAAGAATATATTTTTCTAAAAATGGAAAGAAAGAAGTAATACTAACAGATATAATGTAGAAAACAAGGAAACCATATATTGTGTGGATCTCTTTATAATTGGCTAGAAGTGGAAATGCCAAGCAGCAATGCAAAAGTTCACATGGTGTTCCAGGAGTAGGGGGCCAGCAGCCATCTGTGAGTGCTGACTGGGGGTACACGAGTGCTGGTGACGTGGGTATCAGCAGGGCGCAAAGCACCCTCAGTCTGTGGATACCCGGGTGGAGTATGAGTCAGAACTTTTCATAATAGCATATATTATTTGTCTTTTTCTTTATATTTGCATTTCACAGCTGTGGCAAGAACAGTGGTGTGTATACCTCTAGCATCTTAGCACCAATCAAGGCAGGACCATCTGACTGTACACATGGTCACTGTATTCTTCACTGCCACATACTTTAATTTAAAAATAGTTTTACTTACCTTTGGTAAAGCAGGAAAAATATTGTGCACACATCTTTTTAGTATTTTGTGGGAGGTTATGGGGAAGATGCATAAAAAACAGTTCTACAGACTGAATTGCACTTGTTACTTCAAGGGTTTGCATGATTGAATTGGAAGCTGAACCTGACTTCTGTGTTTATGTGAAAAAATAGCTGACAGTGATTATTTAACTTGAGAATTTGGTAGATGTTTTCTTGAAAATGAACCAAGTGAGCCTGTCACTTCAAGGAAAACCACTGATATTCTCTTTCTGTGGTAAAATTTGAGTTGTTAATAACAAAAAAATGCATAATTTTGGGAAACATATCCATTACTATTTTTAACACAGAGTGATGGTCAGTTGTTTGCTAAATTCACCAAATACTCATTAATCATATACTATATATAGAAAATACTATGTTATTCATGATTATTGATTGGGAACTCAAGGTTAATGTAATAGTGGTTAAAATTTTGCTGCACATTAGTTAGACTCTAAAGTCAAGTGTATTAACCACTTGCTGGTCCAATTATTTAAATGCAGCATGACCAAACTCACATTTTTTTCTGTTAATTTTTGTAAGATAACAAGAAATAATTTATTTAGTACAAGAATCAACTGGCTGATACGACACCGGCCTGAACAATGCCAGATGCTCAGGATAGTACATAAAGTGTTGCCCAGGTGATGCTTAGGGGAACCTGTTAAATGGTTAACTGTCCTCACGAAAGTATGAATGTTGAAAAGTTAGTGATAGTATCTGAACAGAACCATGAAAGATAATTTGCTTTCTGTTTTAAAAATACCTTTTTGGTTTCTAATTAAAATTTATAATGTTTGTTATAGACAAACTAAACCATGGTATAAAGAAAATACACTCTGTCAGTGGTGTAAGTCCATAGGAGTACTAGCCTCTGCCAGTTAACCATGTTCAACAGTTTCACATAGTAGCTCTTATGTCTAATGTGTATATTAAGCATATTATTTCTAAAAATTAGAATACTCATGTATGGTTTTGTATGTTGGACAGTTATAGTTCCATTTACAAATACAACACAAATACTTACCTTAATTTTTTTGTTTTGTATTTTTTTTTGTGATGCCTAAGGTTTTGATAGTAGTTTTGCTCAAAGGTTGGAAATAAAAATAAACATTGTAGAAATATTTAATAGTAAAACTCTATAGTCTCTAATTACTGACTGTTCCTGATGAATAAATGTATTTCTATACAGATATGTCCTTTAGTTTTCAAAATATTGAGAAAATTATTTCATGTTGAACATGAAGTAGGCATTGAGGATATGAATTTGGAATAAATGACAAAGGAAAGACCACTGATCAGTTCTTTTTTTTTCCTGTGCAACTTCCTTCCCTGGTTTTAGAAATAGTTTGTTCCTTTTCAGTAAGGATCATCTCAGTGTGGCAGGGGGAGCTCATGTATGGGTTAGTCTGGCTGTGAGTTCTGTAAGTATGGTGGCACATCTTAGGTGTTTGTTTACCTGTGTATGTTCAGTGACTATAGATCTTAGAATGTGCATCTAAACCCTTGCATTTTTAAGCATGAGATCATTGATGTTTTGTCTTCCTGCTATATGCTCAGTTTTGTTTTCATATAGTTGTTTCTGTTTTTAATTTTATTTTAAAAAGGTAAAACAATTTCATAACAAAATAATAAAATAACAATAGTTAATAGAGTATATATTGTCATCTTCAAAGAGGTTGCTCAGAGCACGGGTGTAGGGGCTAAATATATAGCTCAGTAGCACAGTGCTTGCCTGGAAGGTCATAAATTCAATTCCCAGTACAAAAAAAAAAAAAGATATGGGCATAAAAATTCTCCAATTGATATTAGCACAAACCCTTTTCAGTGAACTAAGAAACACTAACAGTGTAGCTACCTTGCATTTTTCTCCCTTCCTTTCCTCTTTCCCCCGCTCCTACTTCTTTTTTCCTTTTAAACAATTACTATTTTTTTAACTATTTCACAGTTGTACATTCTAGACCTTATTTGTGCTTTCAATTTCTCACACCACTGAGACAATACAATGTTTACACATGTGAGTCTGATTTTTTTCACTTGTGAATATGATCTCAAATTGCATCCATTAACTTATAAAAGTCTCAAGTTTATCCTTGACTGAGTAGTTATATAGTTGTTTTAAAAGTACTTGTTATTGTATGAACTATGTGTTTAGTTATTCTTTTTCATTCTAGGTAACATTGTACAATACAGATCAGGATGGTAGTGATAGCCCACGCAGTAGCCTTAACAACAGTCTCTCAGACCAGAGTTTGGCATCTGTTAATTTGAACAGTGTTGGAAGTGTGCATAGTTACACACCGGTAAGTCTTAGTAAAGTTAGCTTTTTTTGTTAGGTATTCATGTACTGCTTAAAACTGAAGCAAATATAACTGAAATCCATATTTTAAAATGAAGATACGTATTTTTCACTAGTCAGTTTTTAAGTAGGCCAGACTTCTACCTTGACAGTGTTTTTAACTTGATATTTACATTTTACATTAGTATAAATACACATTTATGCTATGTCACATACTTTGATGTACTTTATTCTGCATCTAAAATCATTTATAGCAGGAAAAATGGGCTTTATTCTGGTGGAACTATAGTTGATGATACTCTATACTTCTCGAGAAAAAAGCTTAGGAGATATATGTACTAATTTGTCCTCCACCTGTCAGTCTGAGAAAGGGATTCAAAGCCAAGCCAAAGAGTGACCTGTGTAAGTGTTCATGTTTCTAATTTGTTACCTATTACAAGAACACAATCCTTGAATTATCTGATAATTTCTTTCCAAACCATCTGGCTTCTGTTTTATCATTGGGCAGTGGACAGAGTCTAAGAGCTCCACAATACAGTGCTGTTCATCACTACAAACTCAATTTTGCCAGATCACTTCCTGTTCCACAATGAGTAAATTGGGAGGAAAATCAGACAAACAAAAACCAGAAACACCCCATAGGACAGAAAGACAAAGGGAGGAACATATGATAAGAAAATAACACACAGGAAACAAAAATTCAGGCAGCAAAATTAAAGTTTACATTGAATATAGAAAACAAAATTGACTGGCAAAACTGCTGTCAGTGCTCTGAAAAAAAATACTCTCAAGAATTCAGAGGAAACAAAATTATATAAAAGAGCACAGTAAATAGGGAGAACCGAGAATTACAGGTGGTCCTGCAGAAGAAAATAAAAAGTTTGTAGACATGCAGCTTTCAAAAGAAACAAGTTAACAGGATTTTTGAAACCTAGGAAAAAGTAATGAGAAAAAAACTATATTAAGATATATTTAAAATTTCCGTAGTAATTTCACATATAATACCTGGCAGAAGAAATGTTAAATATAAAAAACACAGATCAGGCTTCTCTTTAGTCAGAAGATATAAGTTCTAGGTTTGGAATAACAGTATTATACCCAGGTGTATTTTCATTTATAGCTGAAGGCTTTGATATGCAGAAGTACATTACCCTTGTTTTCATGTGTTTCTCCTGAAAATTACAGTAATCCCGCTTCAGTGAGGTGCGGGTGGGGTGGCTTTAGGACTCCTAATAAATAAGAAAATTAAAGAATACTCCAGTCTCTTATACAAAATGGCACAGTGTTTGTATATATCCTATTCCCACCCTTCCATGTACTTTTGGCTTGGTTTGGTTTGGTTTGGCTTGGTTTGAATTTGTTTGGCTTGGTTTAGTTTGGTTTGGTTTTTGGTACCAGGAATCAAACTCAGGACCTTGTGCTTGCCCAGCAGGCAGTGTCTCTGAGCTACATCCCTAGGCCCCTTCCCTTTAAATCATCTCCAGATTACTTATAATACCTAAGGAAGTATAGATGTGATAAGACAGTTGTTACACTGACAATACTGTTTAGGGACTAATGACATGGGGAAAGGTTGGTACCTGTTCAGGACAGATGCAGCCCTCTGCCCCCCAAATATTTTCTGTTTGTGGTTGGTATTCATTGATGTGGAACCCATGGATGCAGGGGGCCTATTATATTTAGTTGGTCAAGAAGCAAATTAAATATGCACTGAAATAAAATAAGCAAAGGTTTAATCATTTAAGTTGATTTTTAAAAAATAATTTTAAGTGTAAAATCATCTTGAGGTCAGTGTAAATCAGGACACTGAGTTCAGTATCACAAAATATAATAAAAGTTAAAGAAGCATTTATAGAACTAAGTTATGCCAGTCATTAAAGCAGATCACATTTCCCTATTGACAACTAGACACTACAAACTGCTATTTCATTTTAATAAGATGTCAGCTAGTCCTTAAGCAATGGTGGAGTAGCTGCTGCTGGTTTGTCATGTGCACTATAGATTGAGCCTGCTGAATCCATGTGTAATACGACAGTTTTATTACTCATGTAGACTAAATGTAAAATCTGTGTAAGACTTTTAGCATATAAAATATTTAAGTCTATGTAAATGATACACAGGTGCAGGATAAGCCAGATTAACATGGTGTCTATTCCCTGAATCCCACACAACAGTACCAAACCACAAGATCCAGATGACAGATTACACAAGTAGTAAGTCACTCTGTAGTGGAGGAACAGATTCCATACTGCGGTTAAGTAGTAGTGTGACTAGCTATGCCTTTCCTAGGAGCAAGGCACTGAGAGTTCCATGCCTCACTGAGCCTGAGGCAGATGAGAAAGGTAGAAAAGCTTCCCCATAGCTGCCTTTCACAAGATAGGACAGGTGAGACTTTGTTCTTCAGAAGACCACTTGTCATCTTATGTTAATGTTCACATCTTAATCTTTCAGGCTTTAATTTTCAAAATACTAACCAAATGGTAACTTCCAACTTTTTGGTATAATCTTTAAGAAATACAGCCGAGAGTGTCTTTTGCTAATTTTATTTCTAGTTGTACTGCCTCCAAAGGTAATTCTTACTTTCTTCGGTATTTATGGTGTTCCCTTTCCTCCTGAGTAGCTCAAGGCCCCGATCTCTTCTTTTTCTTGAGGATCTTCTTTAGGTGTTTCATGGTTACTGGTTTTTTTTATTTAGAGGTAAGATTTGTCAAGTCATTTAGTTTCTTTGAACTCTTTCTCTCTATGAATATAGATGTTAAATTAGATTCTGTGGTTCTTTAAGATCCATGTTAATCATTTTGCTTTCTGTACTTATAAAGGTGTACCCATCTAACAAATGTCCAAAAACAGTTCCTTTTGGATTTCAGTGTTGGCACTAATTGATTCCAGTTACATGCATCATGTAGCAAACCACTTATAGTACAGAGCTACTGAGTTACCTGTATTTTCTTTTCTCAGGTGACAAACCATCCAGAACCAGTCTCTCAGTCATTAACTCCTCAGCAGCAGCCACAGTATAACCTTCCAGACAAGCAACTACTTTTCTCAGAATATAATTTTGAAGATCTTAGTGCCTCATTTCGGAGCCTTTACAAGTCAGTTTTTGAGCAGTCACTTAGTCAACAAGGTGAGTTTAAGTCTTTTTTGTAACAAATTTTTATTGAAAAATATTCAATTAATTATTTTCATACAGAAATTACTTCCTTAGTTTTAGGACGTTATCATCCTGATCACAGTTGAATAATAACATGTTTTATGGCTTTACTATGCTCTGTATATGTGTATATCATAACATAGGAATGGCAGGTTTTACATGCTTACTTTATGTGATTACTAGCATTCTGGGAGCAGTGTTGAGGAATTCTGCTGTGCCACATAAAAAGACTGCCATAATTAGTGATACGTGTAATGTAAACTGAGTGGTGTGGTCCTGTTCTTTTTGATTTGTATTATGCAGAGAGAGTTATAGTAGCACTAAGTTTGTGATTTTGTGTATGGCACATGTTACGTACACGTACTGATAAGCTCTGGTTATTTTACAGAACACACATAAATTACATTTTAATCCTACAAATGTTTAATTGAAATGCAGTATTATTTCTCAACTAAATGCTAGATTATTGCTGTAATGTGTTTTTGTGTCATTAGCTACTGTTTAATTTTAGTTAGACATCTGATAGGATCAAAATGTCACATTACTTTTCTTCCACAGAATAAAAGTCAGAAATTATTGAAAATTCTACCATTGAAGCATTTCATAGTTAATTGTTTATCATATTAACTATTTATACTCAATGTCGCATTCCTTTCCTGTTGTTACAGCAAAATAACCTGAGACTGGGTAGTTTGTAAACAACAGAAATGTATTTCTAGGCTGGGAAGTCCAAGATCATGGCAGCAGCTGCACACTGTATCTTTATAAGGCAGTTGAGCCAGAAGGACAAAGAACTAGCTAACTCCCTTGAGTCCTTTTAAAAGGATATTAATTTCTAATCATATCCTAAAGCATTCTCCTACCTCCCCCTTTTCATACCAGAGATTGAATCTGGGGCCTCATTTATTTTAGGCAAACACTTTAGTACTGGTCTGTGTCACCAGCCTTTTTCTTTTCATTTTGAAACAAGATCTTGCTAAATTTTCCCTGCTAGCCTCACATTTGCAATCCTCATGCGTCAGCCTCCTAAGTAGCTAGGATTACAGGTGTACCCTGCCATGTCTGCCAAGGCCCCGTCCCTTACTACCATCTGTCACATTGGAGTTAATTTCTAACATACAGATTTTAAGGGAAGCTTGCATTCAGCACACAGCATCACAATTCAGTTTGCCTGTGTAGAGCAGTGAACAATAGAAAAAAAAATTCATGTCCTTATATGGTTTATATTTCAGTGCTTATCACTGTCATGAAAATGAATATTATGTACCAATGTTTATATATATCTGAATATTGATAGCTTGTATATGAAGTGACTTTTTCTGGTTAATACTTTTGAAATAGGAGTCATATTTTCTGATTTTGTCTTAAACATTTTACCTATGAACATGTAAAAAGAATTAACGGGAGTGGGGATGTAGTTAAGTGGTACGTACAGTGCTTGCTTAGTGTGAGCAGGCCCCTGGGTTGACATCCTCACAACTGCCAAACTTTAAAAAAAAAGAAAAAGACTTTTCTAAGCAATTCCAACTTTATGACCATGAAAAAAATTACTAGCTTTTGAAAAACAATGGTGACAGTTTCTGAATCCCAGAATTAATTTGTCACACATATGAATATGTGGTACGTCTAAAATGTGCCAGTAAACTTCAAAAATAATAAAGTAGATGTTTGTAATTTATACTTTTTTTTTAAAAAAAAGGAAGAACATTGGTAAGAACTTGGTCCTGGTCTAAGTTCTGTAACTTTGCCTCTCTGGATTTAAGTAACCCTATTTGTAAAATGAATAACATTGGACTAGGTCATTGGTTTTCAAATTGTTCCTTTGAGAGCCCTTCACTTTTGTAAGGGTTCAGAGGCTGATGGAGGAAAAATATGCAGATGAGGAAGAAAATATAGCAGCCTCCCTTTCCTCATTTGAAAACAGTACTTTTATCCTTTTTATGTAGTTTAGAAAGATATTTTGTTTTGTCTGGTGTTATTTAAAAATAATTTAGCATCAAATTTCAATTTCAGATTAAAAAAATGTTGCTGTAGATTACTCATCATTTCACTTCCCTCATAAAATGGTAGGGTTTGGGTTTGGTTTGCTTTAGTTTGTGAGATAGGATCTCATATGTAGTACAGGCTGACACCGAACTTGTAATCTTTCTGCCTTGGCAAGCCAAGATGTGTGCTGTGATGCCTGGCTCATAGTTAGAATTTCATAGGAAAGAGGTAATGAAAACATGGCTTTCTTTTATCCTACTGTAATAGCCCTGTCTGTTCCCTGTGAATGGGTTTTCCAAACCAGTACAAGAACCGTTTTTAAATTTCCTTTCTTTGTGTGTGGTGTAGGTGTAGCACTATGGATAAAACCTACAGTCCCATGCATGCTAGGACATTACTTTCTACACTGAGCTGCACCTCAACTCAGGCACTTTTATGAACTCTTCTTATCTCTATAAAATTTAAGCTATCTTTCAGAGTACTCAAGTTCAGTTTTACTGTTAGGGATAAACATGAGAACTGTTTGGTACACCAAAATAGGAGAGGTTTACAGATCCTTAACTCATGTTGGCCTCCTGGCTCCAGGCCTGTCTTGTCCACGTGTCCAGGTCTGGACTGCAGACTTGTGCAAAGGCAGAGAGAAGAGATAGAGGTGCAGTGGGAGAGAATGGCAAGGAGACTGCCTGCCTGAGTGAGTGATTGCCTCAAAGCACAGCAACATATCTGCCCTCACCTCCACCTCCGGCCTCTGCCCCTGGTTCCACCCAGGCCCTCTTTGCTGGAATCTGAAACATTCTCTTCCGAAGTTTTAGAGCAACAACAAGCTAACATCTGCCATAAATACCTTGGATATCAGTTTATAAAGGTAACTTGTTATCTTTGCTGAGTTTAAAAGAAGCACTCATCACTATTGCCAGAATCTCCCTGATTTTCAGAGAAACTGCAAATATGAATTTTTGTGTGAAATCTCTTGACTTATAAATGTTAAATTTAAAAATTTCCAAATACTCTGTGGGTTTAACTTGGTATGTTCGTAAGCCTCCAGTTTGCAACATATTCTTGAGGGACCACAGAAGTTTAGTTATTGAATTAGCATGCATTCAAATTTGAAGATTTGGGGAAGCTCCCTTCTCATATAGCCCTAATTTTTGAAAAAGTCATCTGTAACTAAACAAAGAGCAGGAATATCAAGGGCACAAACCAAAAAGTTCTTTTTTTTCTTTTTGGTGCCAGCGATCGAACTTGCGACCTCGCACTTGCCAGGTAGTACTTTATGCCTGAGCTACATCCCTGACCCAGGTCATTTTTGTTTTAACAAACTCTTTTTTAGTTTGTTTATATAATATTAAATAATAAACTGCTATGGGTTTCTTCCTTTCCTTGCTCCCATAATCACAACAATAAAGATCCCCTTATCAGCTGGGGATTTAGCTCAGCGCCATAAGCACTTGCTTGGCAAGCGCAAGGCTGTGAGTTGGTACCAAAAAGAAAAAGATCCCCTTACCTTACAAGATCGTCCATGGTCAGCCCAGGACCATAGCTGGATCAGTGTTTCCCTGGAGGCTGGAAAACTCATTTGACACTCATTTTTTCATTTTGTTTCTTTTTGTAGATAACAGCTTTCTTGAAATGTAATTAAAATATCATACAATTCACTATTTAGAGATTAAAATGTAGTTGTTTTTAGTATATTTACAGTTACGTAAATACCAGGACAATTACTTTTATTTTATTTTATTATTATTTTTGTCTTTTAGAGACAGGGTCTCGCTATATGGTTCAGGCTGACCCTGAGGTCACTTTGTAGCTCATGCTGGTCTCAAACTCACAATGATTCTCCTGCCTCAGCCTCCCCAGTGCTGGGATTACAGGCTTGCACCATCATGCATGGCTAACTGAATAATTACTTTTAAAGATTTTCATTAACCTAAAAGAAATCCTGTAGCCATACGCAGTCATGTCCCTTTTTGTCCCAAACACCCTTAACCTGGGCAATGACAATCCACTTTGTCACTATAGATGTGTCTGTTCTCAATATTACATTTATAGTACATGGAATCATTTAGTATGTAATATTTTGCCACTGCCCTTTTTTACTTAGCATAGAATTTCAAGGTTCACTCATAATAAAACATTTATATATATATGTGTATCGATACCTCATTCCTTTTTATGGCCAAATAATATTCCATTATAGGTAAATACCACATTTTATTTATCCAAATTTAGTTGCTCAGTATTTAGATTCCCTCTACTTTTGAGTGTGTGTGTGTACACGTGTGTGTGCAAGCACATGCAGAGGGCAAGAGTGGATATTGGGAATTGAACTCAAGGCCTTCACTCTTAGGCTACACTCTCAGCCCTTTTCCTGTTTTTATTGTTATTTTTACTTTTGAATCAGGGTCTCATTAAGTCATCCAGGCTGAGATCGAACTTGCAATCCTTCTGTCTCAACCTCTCAAATTTTTGACTCTAAGAAATAATAATGACTATGAACATTATGTGCAAATTTTGGGGGGTATAGTGTTTTCTTTCCTCTAAGGTAAGTACTTAGCAGTAGAATTGCTGAGTCATGTGATGACTGTTTAACCAGTTGTAGAACTACTGAACTCTTTTCTGGAGCTGTTGCATCATCGTACTTCCTCCCTGCAGTATAAGAGGGCCCCTTTCTTCCTATGCCTTCCACTGTTTTTGCTGTTGTTCTTGAGCGAGGGTCTCACAGTATAATCCTGGCTGGCCATAAACTCGAGGTTCTCCTGCCTCAGCAGCCTCCCTGTGCTGGGATTGCAGGGCGCCACCACACCGGCTGCCTTCCACTCTTGATACTTCAGACGGTTGACAGCGATGAGCACCTCCTACAACTCTTCATTTCTCAGTTAAAGCATTCAGAGCTGTGCATTCTCTTTTTAAACAGAAAAATTTCTTAGGACAAAATATAAAACCCAGTTGAGAGCCTTTTTCTATTCTTTGTTTTAGTCAAGTTCCCTGTTTGGAGTGGAGTGGCCCTGTGTTCTCTTAATCTCAGTCTGTGGAGTACATCTTTTTCCCAGATGAAGGAAGGAATGTCATATGGCAAATGACTTAAGAATCTGATCCTGTCCAAGGATCTGACACATATGTGTTATTACGGGTCCTGCTCTGGATGACATTCTGATCTTTCTTATAATTTGGATTTTTGAAGCAAAGCCAGACATTGTATCATTTTGCCCATAAACACTGCAGTATCCTTCTCTAATACACAGAACGTAGGTTGCCTTATATTAAGTGTGATTCACTTCTTTGTTTTCTTTTTCTTTCTTTTTTTATTTTTTATTTTATTTTATTTTTTGTCTTTTGGAGAAAGGGTTTCACTATGCAGTTTAGGGGGGCCTTGAACTTACCTTGTACCTCAGGCTGATCTCAAACTCACAATAATCCTCCTGCCTCAGCCTCCTCAGTGCTGAGAATACAAGCCTGCACCCCCATGCCTGGCACATTAACAGTAATTTCTTCATGTCTTCTAGTATGTAGTCCGTAAACCCTGATTATCTTAAAAATGCCTTTCATAGCACTTTGGATCCGAGTACAAACAAGGTTCACACATTTGATTGTTTAGTCTTTTGATTATCTTTTCTCCTAGATTAATTCTTTTTGACAGATCATATTTGGATAAACAAAACAATCTAAATTAATGTAAAACAATATTTAGTAATGTAAAACAGAATGTGATTAAAGAGCTTTGTAAAACTCTTCAGCCCCATTGGAAGACATATATGCCAGATAATTAGATTTGAAGTTCCAACACCATTGCTGTAGGCTGTGTCATCTCAGGCAAATTACTTTAGTTTTTATTAAAAGTTACACGTGTGCATAGTTTGAAAAGACAGTTCAGCAAGGCTTGTTACTGACAACATACAAAGCACTTATCTGTTACTACCACTACTTGATTTTCTACCTCCAAGAGACATTCATTTTTAATTTTTCTGCTTAGGTTGCTTGTTGTATTTTTAACCTTTACATCTCTCAATAACAAGCTTATGTTGCTAGTTCTTGATTTTCTACTTTATGTGTTGACGCCCTGCAGTGGGTGATGATGATTTCATGGCATTGCACCACAGATGCGCAGCCTGTAGTCCCTGTCCTCAGTGAGCTGGAGCGGCGCTTCCTCTACTGTGAGAGTGAGCGTGTTCCTCCCGCAAGACACTGGGATTGCTGGTTTTCACTGTGCAGTTTGTTTTTCTGAAGCCAATAGAAGTCTTGCTTATTGCTTTGCATAGTTTTTAAAAAAATGTATTTATCGCTGATTCTGAACTAAACTGTCTCCAGTTGTTTAAATTTCCTCTCCTTATGTTCAGACAGGTAGTCACTTTCCTTTTTTTTTCTCACTGTACTTGGGATTGAACCCAGACCCTTGTACTTGGTAGACAAGCACTTTTTTTTTTTTTTTTTGTCTTTTTCCTTTTTATCAGTACTGGGGATCGAACTCACGACTGCCTGCTTGCAAGGCAGGTGCTTATGCCGCCGAGCTAAATCCCCAGCCCCTGGTAAGCAAGCACTTTGCCACTGAACTATATCCCTGTCGCTTTTATTTTAGTTTTGGAGACTGGATCTTGGTAGTTGCCCAAGCTGGCCTTGAACTTGCCTTTCTCTTGCCTTAGCCTCCCAAGTGTCTGGTCTCGGTCTCCCTCCCTCCTTCTCCTTATTTTGCCATAAAGTATTCCTACATTGCCTAGGTTGCCTTTCAACTTGGTATTCTGCCTCAGCTTTCTGAGTACTGGGATTCCAGGTATGTACACTGTTTGCTATACATTCTGAGAGATCGCCTCAGTTTATTTTTCAGTCTTTCTTTATTACTATAATTGTATCAGTCAGTGCTTACTAGAGAAAAAGATTTAATGCAAGATATACAAATATATAAGAATTTACAAGATTGGCTACCAGTGGCTGCTCACAGAGTCTGGTGAGGAAGAGTGCAAAAGGTCTGTGTACTGGAGATCTAAAGGATCCAATCAAAGACCTGGAGCTCACTGTGTTCTGCCATGGGAGTCCTTATCAGAAGACTGAAGGGTCTGTGATGGAAGGTTGCTGATGATGTCCTAGGTGAAGGTGACAGCCAGCACTTCTCCAGAGAAAGTGCAGCTTGCCTTTCTTCTTTGTTCTCCTTTTATACCATTCAAGGGAAAATCCAACCTAGAGCGAGTCTTCTGTCTTCAGTAAATCCCTGTAGCAACACTCAGAACTACACTGATCCAATCTAGTTGGGTGTTTCTTTCTCAAATGCACACAATCAGTTAATTATTACAGCAATTGTATTTTTAAGAACTTCTATTGTTCTTGTTCACTGAATGTACCTCTTTACTTTTTTCTACCTGTTTCAGGAGTAAATGTTTTCTTGCTAATGATTTAAACATCTGTAAAGTTTTTGTTTTCCTGTGTATTTTGTGTTGTTCCAGATCGTATTAATTTTTTGCTTATTTTGGTTTCCTGTCTTCATATGACATAGTTTTCACTAATGCCTTGCGATCGTGGTTAGTAGCGGGTCATATTTAAGAAGTGCTTTCACTCTCATTTGCTCTCCTATTTCCAGTGGTAGGTGAGATTTTGGAAGGGAATCTCATGGCGTGCTGCGCATTACAGCTCACTTTTTCTCCTGAAGTACAGTATGGGGTTCAGCTTTTTTGGCTTTACTGAGTTCTACTTGCTTTTTTCTTACCTTCCAAGCTTCCTACATTCTGGTGTCTCCTCTCCTGTTCTCTTTGACCCATTTGCTGCTGCTGTACAGTTCACAATCTTTTCTATCATTTTTGGGGGTTGAGGAAAAAGAAAAGATACACGTGTAAACTACATGTGTAAATCAGGGTCAGCAAATTATGGTTTCTGTGCCAGATTCAGCCCACAGCTTGCTTTAGAGTGACCTTATTTAAAATGTTATTACATTTTTAAAAGAGTTTTTAAGCAAAATAGGATCCATTCTGCCAGTCTGTGTCTTTTGACTGATGAATTGAGACCGTTAATATTGATGGTTATAACTGAAATGTATTGACTTATTCTTATCACATTATTTTCCTGTTGTTGGCTATCCTGCCCCCTTTTTTATCCTTCTGTCTAATTGTTTGCCTTCCACGGTGGATTCCTTCTGTTAGGGTCATGGAGCTGTAGTCCTTATTATCTCTTTCTAGAATGTCCTAGTTTGGTGGTCATAAATTTCCTCAGATGTTCTTTGTCATGGAAGTATCTTACTTGTTTCTTAATTTTGAAAGTAAGTTTTGCAGGGTACATCGATCTGGATTGAAAGTTGTTTTCCTTTAGAACTTGGAATACTTCACTTCAAGCTCTGTTTTTTTGTCTTTTTGAGACGGGGTCTCACTATGCAGTTCAGGCTGGCCTTGAGCTCACTTTGTAGCCCAGGCTGATCTCGAACTCGCAACGATCCTCCTGCCTCAGCCTCCCGAGTGCTGGGATTACAGGCATGAGCCACCACGACTGGCACCAAGCTCTTCTTGACTTGAGAGTTTGTGCTGACATGTCAGCTGTGATTCTAATGGGCTTTCCTTTACAGGTAATTTTTTTGTTTTCCCTAATACGTTTTAAGATTGTATTCTTGTGTTGAATTACTGGACTGTTGCCTGTGATATGCCTAGATGTAGATTTTTTTTGGATTCTTGCTAAGTGGAGTTCTGTATGCCTCACTTATTTGCATGTCAAATTCTTTTTCTCTATCAGAAAAGTCTTCTGTCATGATACCTGTGAACATGTTTTTAAATGTCATTTGTGGTATCTTTTACTTGTTCATTGATTCCGATTAATCGTAAGTTATTCTTTTTTTTGTCTCATCAAGCAGCTGCTGGATAGATTTCTCATGGTCTCTTGCTATTTTTTTCCCCTTGCTATTTTTGAAAACTCTTTCTTTTCTTGTTCACTAACTGCAAGCCTCTTTAGAGTTTCTGAGATCCTGTTCTCACACTGGCCTGATCTGCTTTGAATACTTTCAGTGGAGTTTTCATTCTCCTGAGTATCTGCTTGAATCTATTTTATGGATTCCATTTGTTACCTATGTTGTGCTTCCATAATTTGCTTAAGCTTGTCTATTTTTTGTCTGTATCTGCTCTAACATCACGAAGCATGGTGTGAATTTTGATAATCTCTGTAGTTATCTGACAGATTATTTCTGATTTCATTTTTTCCAGAGCCTCATTCAATTGCTTTGTTGTTACTACTTCAGAGACCTGCTGGAGGGCTTTTAGATTTTTCCCACCTGATTGCCCCTTGGGGTTTGCCTTTGGTGAACTGGGTGTCTGAGGTTGTGTCTTGTTTAAGTATCTTCTCATTTCTTTTCTTCTTTAGTTTAATTGTTAGAGTGATACTTGTTGGTTGCCTGTGGTAGGTTGCTTTATTGGTGGTATTTAGGACACCCAGGAGATGATCACTTCTCTGAGGTATCTTTCAGATGTAGGTGGTTTTTGAGCTCTGAGTCTATTGGAAGATCTGACCTCCTCAGTTTGCTGAAGATGAGCAGCTATTGCTTGCCTGGCCCAGTCCCTGGTTCTTTGGCACTGTGCCACAGTATTCTCTGTGGCCCTTAGTCAATCTGAGTCATAGATTATCAGGGTTTAGAACAGTTAAACAGCTGTTTAGAACAGTTATGTCAGTTTTGGCTGTAGTGGTACCAATAGCATCAAACACATCCTATAAAACAATAAACTGGGCCAACCCCTGATTTGCAACTTTTTAACTATATGGACTGAACTTTTGATCATATAACAAAATGCAAAACAATTATATACATTGTATATCTGTAAAATGTAAATTCTGTCCTCAAGGCTTAAAATTCAAAATGGGTTAAGGAGAAAACAAAGCAGGAAACAAGAAAGAGATTACAATTACAAGTAGGTTGGAGGACAAAGATGGATCCTATCAACTTGGGGAAACTGATGCAGAAGACTGAAGGAAAAGAGATTTCTGCTGGTTCCTGGTATTATTATAGCAGTTATTCTTGAGTACTCACTATAACAAGTGCTAAGAGCTCTGTTTGGATTATAAAATATAGGTTCATGGTAAGCAAATACATGACCCAAAACCATAGAGCCAGAACTCAATGGTGGATGGGGAGGACTTCAAACCCTCAACTCTTATCTCTATTATACCATAATGCCTCCAATGTATTTGCATACTCAAGCTCCAGAGGTTAACTAGTATAGTTCACTAAGTAATTGCAGGAGGTGAGAACAGAAGGCAGGTATACATGCCACATTTTTCTCTTTGCTCCTCTACTGCCTCTGATGATGACTAGGACACTGGGCCTGCCTTCTAGGTGCTTAAGGACTCATACATGCAGTGGCCAGAAGTGACATACAGCACAAACCTGGGCTAAGGCAATTAGAGGGCAGAAAGGTTCTTCTGCCCTCTTGTGGTTCAGTGTGACTATTACATATCCAAGCCCCATGAAAACGCACTGAAATACCTTATAAAGGCACTTGGCAGCAGGCACAAAACCACAGGAGATGACTCTCTCTGGCCTGAAGAGGACATTTAATAACGTGACGTTCTGATTTTGAAAAATATTACTTATGATAAGAACGCTCATCCTAACTACAGCTCAGAAAAAAAACAAACTAAAAACCTGTATTACACAATAATAAAGAATATAAACACCCTCAATATCCATCAAGAAAAGTGATGAAGGTTTAAAAATATTCTAAGCCCCAAATAAAACTCCTAATCCTTGCTTTTTATACTCAGTGATTGTAGAACTCTTTCCATACCAGCAAGATATTTAGTTCCTCATTCTGCAGGTGGCAGAGCACTCATTGGACAGGGGAACTACCATGGAGTAACTTGTGTCCTACAAATGACAACTTCAAACTGCTTCCAAATGTTTACTATTAAAAACAATGCTGCAGGGGCTGGGGATTTAGCTCAGCAGCATAAGCGCCTGCCTTGCAAGCACATGGTCAGTCAGTTCAATCCCTGGTATCGATTTAAAAAAAAAAAAAAGTGTTTAAAAACAATGCTGCAAATAAACAATGAGATGAATTCCTGGGAGTGGACATGCTGGGTCAAATGGCACATCCACACTTACGCACCACTTCCCCTTTGAAACTTTTTCCCTCTGACTCTCTTCTGTCTCTCTGGCTGCTCCTTCTCAGCCTTCTTCCCACACTGCCTTACTTGCTCCTTCCTTAGTTGTCAGTTTACTGGGATTTGGTCTCCATCTCCCTTCATCCTACAGTCCTTTCTTCTTTTCAGCATTTGTCACCTACTCTTGTTTCCAGCTATGAGTTTTCTTCCTGGAAGGCACCTAAGGTCATTACATCTTTTAAGTCCACAGTTTCAGAATTATTTTATATACTTACTACTCCTGTATGTAAGTACAGATATAATATGCATGCATACATATGTTCAAATATGAATATATATATAATGTCCTGCCCCTTTCTACAGTAATGGTGGCATCACACCCTAAATTGAAGCAGTTTTAAGGGAATTCTGCAAGGCAGCAGTCTTTAAAGGAGATAAGTGTGACCCTTGGTAGAGGATAAGGCACATGCCTGTAATGTCGGCACTTGGGAGGCTGAGACGGCAGAATCGTTGCAAGTTCCAACCCAGAATATCTTTTCGTATGCTATTGACTTTGTCAGTAAGTTCCCAATTTAGGAAGGAGTTCCGGGGGGACATTCATATGTTGGATTCATTCCTAGGTCTGACAAAGTGAGTCTTGTACAACACACTAGTGAAAGTTTGCAACCCAAATATTGCTAGGTCAGGGATTTATATATGTTCTTTGAAAACGTAACTATTCATATTCTTGGTCCATCTGAAAAATGAGGTTGTCTTCATATCGTGTTATAAGAGTTGTATTGCTTACTTTTTCCCATATTTTCAATTGAGAATAAAAGATTCCTAACTACCTAGGAAAGCACTATCTTTTCTCTCTTGGGTGGTGACAGTGGTATGGTACTGGGGATCAAACCCAAGAACCTGCACATACATACAAGGCAAATCCTCTACTACTAAGCTATATCACTAGCCACCATTATTCTTTTCCAGTATCAAGAAGTAACCATCAGAACTATGGATGTTCTTCAATGTACAATAAGGTTACAGCGGGGCTAGGGATTTAGCTCAGCAGCATAAGCGCCTGCCTTGCAAGCAGGCAGTCATGAGTTCAATCCCTGGTACTGATAAATACGAAAAAGACAAAATAATAATAATAATAATAAGGTTACGGCATGAGACACCATAATTAAGCTAAAAATATATTAAGTTAAAAATGCATGTAATTTACCTAACCTAACCAGGCATGATGGTGCACATCTATAATCCCAGCACTTGGGAGGCTGAGCCAAGAGGATTACTGTGAATTCGAGGCCAGCCTGGAACATCTCAACAAACAAACAAACAAACAAACAAAAAAACTACACACACACACACACACACACACACACACACACATAAAACTTTATCTCTTACCAAATATCAAAGCTTAACCTAGCTTACTTTATTAAACATGCTCAGGAGACTTATACCACCCACCAAAGTTGGGCAAAACTATCTGACACAAAATTTATCCAGTAATAAAGCACTGCATATCTCATATAACCTAGTGAACACTACACTAAAAGTAAACAACAGAAATGTAGTATACGTATATTTCTGCACTCTTGAAAACGTTGGTATAGACAAAGACTTTATGAACAAAAGCCCGACTGCACAGTAACTATCACACAGGATCAACAACTGGGATCTCACCCTACTAAAAAGCATTTGTACAGCAGAAGAAACCACCAACAGAGTGAAGAGACAAACCCACAATGTGGGAGAAAATGTTTGCCAGCTGTATCTCAGACAAAGGATTACTATCAAGAAGATATAAAGAACTCAAAAAAATCAGTCCTCCCAGATTTAAAGACCCAATAGAAAGATAGGCATCTGAGATGAACACACACTTCTCAGATGAAGAAGTACAAACAGCAAATAAATACAGGAAAAAATGTTCAACATTACTGGTCATTTGAGAGCTGCAAATTAAAACAACACTGAGAATCTACCTCATCCAGAAAGAATGACTGTTATCAAGAAATCTACCAATAACAAATACTGGAGGGGCAGTGGGGAAAAAGAACCCTTCTCCACTGGGGGTGGGAATGCAGACTGGTGCAAGCACTGTAGAAATCAGTGTGGAAACTCCTCAAAAAACTTTAGGATTGAAGGTCCCATTCAACCCAGCTAGTCCCCTTCTGAGTATCTTCCCAAAAGAATTAAAAACATCATAGCACAGTGATATATGTGCACCCGTATTTACAGCAGCACAATTTGTAATAGCCAGAACTTGCAAACAATCTAAATTACCCATCAACTGAGGAATGGATAAAAAAAAAAAAAAAAGATGTGGTAATTCTTTTGATTGGTTTTACAGTGTTTTGTTTTTGGCTTGATTTTGCCATACCTGATGGGATGGATAACTATTGTAAAGACAAGATATACTACGGTAGCTATTATTTTTTTTTTCAGTATCCTGCTTTAAAACTCTGTACTAATTCTGCTGCACTGTCTTATTGGCTTTGTTCTGTCTTGTTTTGTTGGATTTTACATCATTAAAATAAAAAATTTTTTTAATTAGATAAAAAAAGATGTACTTTTATGCAACAGGAATACTACTCTGCTATCAAGGATAAACTGGACACTTTTACAGGTGAATGGGTGCAACCTGGGACCATACTCATTAGTGAAATAAATAAGACACATATATGTAAACACTGTATTGTCTCAGTGTTAGAAGCTAAAAGAAACAACATGTATATACGTATGTATGTAGAAAGAAGATAGTTATACTACTGATTTCTCTGAGTTCACTGAAGAGAAAGATTTGTGCTAGTATTGTTCAGACAAGAATGGCATTTTACACTTTTGTAAATCTTTTTTATGTCCAGTTTACTGAAAAAAATCTGGGCTCAGGGCTGGGGATTTAGCTCAGTGGCATAAGCGCCTGCCTTGAAAGCAGGCAGTCGTGAGTTCAATCCCTGGTACCGATAAAAAGGAAAAAGACAAAAAAAAAAAAAAAAAAAAATCTGGGCTCTATTTGCTTCCACATGCAGTATGTCATAAATTGTTTGGAACAAAGTACAGAATATGTAAATTTTGTCCTCTCATAGATTAAACAAAAAAGGAAAGAGCATTATACTAACCTCTTCAAATGATTCTGGATACCCTGCTTAGATACTAACCAAAACTCAAACACTAATAGTTTCCTATAGGTTAGTCATAATACGGAATCTAGAACAATATTCAGACATCATTACTTGTGGACTTCAGGACTCATCAAATCTTGTACCTGTTAAATTTTGATGAGAAAATGTTTTAGCACTTGGGACCAGCATCAGTCTCAGGGTCACTCAGTAACAGTGCAAAGCCCTGACACAGCCCTCATTCTTCTTTTGTTCTTTTGTGCATTTGAGATGCTAATCATGGGTCACAAGGTTAGGAATGTGCTGCAAAGCCTAAAAGACTTATATTAGTTGAGTAAAAGACCATATTATTAGTCCAGTAAAACGTGAAAGTCGTGAGGAACTTTAATGAGTTATTTCTAATTACATTTTTTCATATGGGAAAAATCTGTTCAGTACTTGTCAGTCTGACACCCATCACAAATTCTGGAAAGAATTAACTACAATCACTGAGGAATGACTGTACACGGATGAACATTTTCAGACCCTGTTACATTAAAATCCACTGCCCTCAAAGTATAAATAACTTAAAGAGTAAAATAAAAGACAGATAATAGCTATAGGGAGGATAGGTCTTTTACAAATGAGAAAAGGACTAAGCAATGAAGACAGCAGGAGGGAAGAGAAGAGAAAGCAAAATGAATTAAGGTATGTTACATACATGTATCGACTCCCCATAATGAATGTAATCATTATGTACTGTAAATATGAACTAATAAAAATTTTTAAAATCCATTGCTGGGGATGCCTCAAGGAGAGAACCAGCTAGCATCTCCCAAGAACACACCATGTTGGAACTTGAGGCACTGGGAAAGAAAGCAACCCGCTCACCTCCCTGGTAAGCAGCTGTGAGCCTACTGGCACACGGGCTGAGAATCAAGCATCCCGTCCTTCCCTTTACCCCCACAGTTAGCAAATGGGAGCCAGAGGCCTGAGCATCTCTTGGGAGGTTGACCCTATGCAATACAGCAAATACGGGGATTTCCTTCTACCATCTCTTTGAAGGCAAATATTTGTTTTTGGCTTTGTTCTGATTAATTGTATTGTTCTATTGAATATTGTTTTGATTTGACTTTGCTATACCTGATTGAAAACACAACTACTGTGAAGGTAACGAGATATACTACGGTACCTGTTACTGTTATCCCGGTAACCTGTTCTGAAGTTCTGTATCAATTTCACTGCATTGTCTCAATTGGCTTTGTTCTGTCTTGTTCTGTTGTATTTTACTATCTTCAAAAATTTAAAAAAAAAATCTATTGCTTTATCTATACTTTGGCTCTTTCATCCATTCTAATTTCACAGTATCAAAAGAGTAGTTATTTGGGTATCAGTGATTCACTGAGTTACACAATCTTCCAATGTTTCACATAATTATACACTAGCAAAACAACACTTTTGTTAACAGTGCTACTGATATTATCAGAAAAATATTTAAATATTGAGACATCAAGCTCGTGGCAGCAGATACAAGTTTTTCAGAATTCTAATTTTCACTTGTAAGCTCAAATGTTGTCTCCACAAAAAAGTCAGTTGTTCCCTTTGAAGTGGCAACTAACTTCTTTCGTTTTTGTGAAAAAGTCTGCAAATACACATACCTAGATAAGCATAAGCATACCTATCAATCATTTTAAGTAAAAATTATGTTTTCAAAAGAGCAGCTAAGCTTTTAGTACAATTCAGAGTGCTTTTCCTTGAGACAAAAAAAAATTACTATGAGTGCTGTAGTACTTTATATATATTTCACATTTCATTGCATTTGAATAAAATGATCCATATTCACAAATCAAATTTTAATAAAATGTTTCATCAATAGTATTCTTAAGTAAAACTGGCTTTAAAAAAAAACACGTGTGGGGGTTTAGCTCAGCAGTGTAAGTGCCTGCTTGGCAAATGCAAGGTCATGAGTTCAATCCCCGGTACAAAAACTAAAAACAAACAAACAAAAAAAACCACCTAAAATAGGAAAAAAAATACAATGACAATTAATACAATTGGGGGCTCCTGGTTTGATTAGTCCTATGGTGCTAGCAGATAGCACCACAGGCAGTCAGCATCTCATTACTAATGTACGAATATGGTACTTCTAATCAAATTTTAAGAACCACTGTTGCTATAAAAGATAGTGCCCTGTTTTGTTTTTATTGGTTTTATTCTGTTGTTTTATTTGATTTTATGAGGTCTCATGGATGGGCAGATATTTTGAAGAGAACAAGAGGCATCAAGGCAGCCATTGTTGATTTCTTATTATCTTATTTTGCTTTCACTGTTTTGTTTTGATTGGCTTTATTCTGTTTTGTTTGGTTTTATTCTCTTAAAAATAAAAACATTTTTTAAAAAAGACAGCACTCTGCTTGGCTCAGAGATTCTGTCTCTGACGAGCACAGCTCCCTGACTACAGCACCGTACATTCAGCTTTTAGTTTCACATGTTACTCACTGGCCTCATCCTTCAACACTTTTTCTCTTATTGACTTCCTGCCTATTTTTTCTCACAATACTTTCCTTTCACTAGATTTTATATACTTGATATAATTATCTTTCTTGTAGTAACTAGCCTAGACATCTCATCTGCATATTTACCTTAACAAAGCCTAACTGAATTGATACATCTCACCATACTAACAAATGTAAGAAAAATGCTTTAACTCGATACCCCTCAATTTGGCAGGTGGGGGGATGCATGACTGGGGATTGAACTCGACACTTTGCACTAAGCAACATGCCCAGCCCTTGTTTTATACTTTAAAACAGGATCCCACTAAGTTACCCAGTGTCTTAAATCACGTATCGCTGGGACAAAATACCAACACCCATAATTTAATGGAGGTGAGGTTTATTTTGGCTCATGATGACAGTCCATGATGTCATGACATCCCTAGCAAAAGGAGAAGCAGGAAGGGAGATATTCCCTTCCAGGTCACAACCTCTTCCAGGTGCCACCACATAACAGCACAGTCAGCTGTAAACTCATCAGTGGATTAGCCCACAATCCATTCAGAAGTTATAGCACACCATGACCTAGTCACTGCTTCCAGACGCCCCGCTCTGAAACCTTAAGATGTCTGGGGAACACTTCTGGTCCAAACGATAACACTCAAGCTGAGTTCCAACATGGGACCCTTCTGCCTCAACCTCTCAGAGTGCTGAAATTACAAGTAAAGTACGTCCCACTGTATCCCTGACTTCTTCATTTACATTCTATCACCAACTAGTAGTATAGCTCCATCTCTTGGCTTTTATGATGCCAGATGCTAACTGAGTAATACTGCCTTTTGTGGCATACAGCCAATATTATGCAGGTTTACTCAAAGGTTTACCAGTTTATCATTCCTTCCTGTACCTTCCTTTGAAGGTCCTTTTGCTGGTAGTGAATTTTCTTCAGTATCTGCCTCATTCTCAAAAGATGGTTTCATGGCACGTACAGATTCCAGCTGACAGCTGTTTTCTTTAAAAATAATAAAAACAGTTCACTGACTTCCAGTTTTTATTGCTACTCTTCAGAAGCCAATTACCCATCTAATTGTTGTCCTTTTGAAGGTATTATTTTTCCCTGGCTATTTTTACCAAATTATAATAACATAAATTGCCCCTATCCAAAGTGTATAGACTTGGTGAATTTTGATGTATTCATCAGTATCTGTAACATACGTACATTAATCTGTGAAACTGTCACAACTAAGCTAGTGAACACACTGTATTAGTCATTTTCCTATCACTGGGACAAAACACCCAACACTTAACAAAATTTAAAAGGTTTATTTGGCTCACAGTTCAGGGAGTTCACTCCATGGTCAGCTGGCTCTGAGGCAGAAAAATCATGATGGAAGACTGTGGTGGAGAAAAACTGCTTCACCTATAGCAGGCAACAAGTAGAAATAGGGAGGAGCTCAAGAGGACGCATCCTTCCAGGTCACGGTCTCAGTGACTCACCTACTCTGGTCGGGCCCCACCTCCTAACAGGACCTTCAGCTGTAAACTCATCAATGATGAATCCTGTGGTGGAGTCTAGAATCATCCATGATCTAGTCCCCTACCAATAAGCCCCACAGCTGAATACATGAGCTTTGAGGAGCTTTTCAGATTTAAATTTTAATATCCATCAATCTCATATTCCTTCATGCCTTTAAATCCACCCTTCCTCTTTTCACAACCTATCACTGGGCTGCTTTTATCATTTTAAGTTTGAATTTTATGGAATTCTGCATAAATGGAATCATGTATTATGAATGCTTATGCCTGGTTTCTGTCAGCATAACTGAGATTCATTCACGTTCATATGTGTATCAATAATTCATTCATTTTAATAGCAATGTTCCACTATATGGATAAGTCACAATTTGTTTATCTATTTACCTATTGATGGATCTTTTGAGCTGGTTGAGCTATTGTAAATACAGTTGTTAAAATCAAGGTTTTGAAGAGACAAGGTTTTGAACAGACGTACGTTTTTACTTCTCTTTGAGTGCAGTGACTAGCAGCATACTGGGTGAATATTCAATGTTCAAAACATTGTCAAATGTTTTTCAAAGTTGTTGTACCATTTTACATTCCCATCAGCTGCATAAATCTAGAATGGTTGCTCTACATCACCCCCAATACTTGATATAGTCTTCTCAGTGTAATATCTTACTGTGGCTTTAATTTGTATTTTCTTCCAATTTCTAATTATGTTATCCATCTCTTCACTTACCTATTTTTGATCTGTGTAGCTACTTTGTGAAATGTCTTTTGTATCTGCCCATGTTTGATTTTTTTTTATCTCCTTCTGAGTTGCATGAGTTCATTACATACTCAAAATATAAGTCCTTTGTGTATATGTTTTTGCAAAACTTCCTCTCAGCCTTTGGCTTGTCTTTAAAATTTTGTAGCAGTGTATTTTGAAGAGCTAAAACTTCTACTTTATTTTAAAAGACAGGTCTCATTATATTACTTGGTCTGATCTTGAACTCCTGGGCTCAAGTGATCCTCCTGTTTTGGCATCTGAAGCTGTTGGGACTACACAAGTGGGCCACCACACTTAGCAAGGTTTTATTTTTAATAAGGTACAATATATTAATTTTTAAAATTCAGTAGAGTGTGCCGATATATTCTGGAGACTAAGGCAGCAAGATCATTGCAAGTTCCAAGCCAGCCTGAGCTACACAGAGACCCTGCTTCAAAATTAAAAAAAAAAAAAAAAGAAGAAGAAGAAGAAGCTTTTTGTTCCCCATTTAAGAAATCTTTTTCAAATTTAAGGTAACTAAGATTTCTCTCCAATATTTTGTTCAATGAGTTTTATAGTTTTAGCTCTTTTTAGGTACTTGATTCATTTTAAGTTAATTTTGTATATGGAGAGAGATGATGAGTCAAGGTTCATTTTTTTTGTTTGTGACCATTTGTTGAACACAGTTATATTGTTCTATTAAACTGCTCTGGCATATTTTCAAAACTCAACTGGCCATATATGCCTGGACTCTTTTCTGACCCACAGATATATACATCCACCTTTATACCAATACCATTCTATCTACTATAGCCTTACAATGAATTTTGAAAGCAGATGCTTCAACTTGATTCTCTTTCAACATAGGTTTAACTATTCTAAGTTTCCTATTCTAAATTTTAAAATCAGTTGTCATGCTCTACCAAATTAAAAAAAAGGACAAAAACTGAGATTTCTGCAATTTTGGTTGAGAATATAAGTTCTAAAACAAGCTGGGAAGATTCAATATCTTAACAATGACATCTTCTGACCATGAACGTGATATGGCTATTTGAATACTCTTTAATTTCTTACAGCAATGTTTCATGGCTCTTAGGGTACATGTTGGCCATTTTGCTCCCTGAGGGACTTATTCCCCTGCTAACAAAGGCCATTCTCCTAATTATCATGCAATTTAGAGGTATACAAAAACAATTATCTAATCATACTGAGTTGCAATTTTTATTTCCTCTCTTTACCATTTACCTTTCTTTTACAAAGGCAATCATCCTATTTGTTTAACATGTTTGTATACATAATTCTTTTATACATACAAGTTTAATTCTTACCAATTGAAAAATAACAATTTCATTAATTTGAAGAAATGACAGTTATATATATTCCCAAAACCAACACCACAATCAATATGATATAAGGGCATTTCCATCAGTCTCAAAAAATTCCTGGTGTCCTTCTAACAATCCATTACTCTTCACGCCAGGTAATTACTGATCTGTTTTTGAATTACTAATAATTAGTTTCCATTTTATATAAATGGAGCCATAGAATATGTACTCTTTTTGTCTTGGGGTTTTGGTTTTTGGGGTTTTTTTGCTCAGAATATGAGTTTCATATTTATCCATGTCTCAAGTTTGTTTTTTTAATTGCTGAATAGTACTCCACTGTATGGATAGATATATCACATTTTGTCTGTCCATCCACTTAGTGATAGACATTTAGAGTATTTTCTAGTTTGGGGATATTGGGAATAATGCTGATATCAGCACTGACGTACAAGTCTTTATGTAGACGGATATTTCTTGCATAAATACTTCTGACTAGAGCAACTGTATCATTTGGCAAGTGTATGTTTACTGGTTTGAGAAACTTCCAAGCCAGTTTCCAAAGTGGGTGTACCATTTTACATCTGCAATCACAATACACAAGGCCTTCTACTGGTTTCACACCCCTGACAAAAATTTGTTATCATGTTTTTAAAATGCTAGCTACTCTGATGAATGTGATGTTGTGGTTTTGTACTTCCTGATGACTGATAAAGCTAAGAATATTTTCAAATCTTTGAGTCATTCTTCTATCGTGTTCTATAAAGTGTCTTCAAATCACTCATCTTTGATTAAGGTGCACAGAGTCTTACTAAAGTTGTAAAAACTATGTACCTTGGATACAAATATATACAACTGTTGAAGGTACTGAATACTGTAATTTAGAGCACTGAATCTTTTCCTATTCTGTGGCCTGCCTTTTCATTCTCTGTATAGTACATATTTTAAGGAGTAGAAAATTTTAATTTTGGTTAAGTTTATCAGTTTTTAATCTTGTGGCTCATGGTTTTTGAAGCCTATCTAAGAATCTTGATGTTTTCTGTTACTTTAGAGAAATAAAACTGTTTTTTTTTCCTTTTTGTTCATTTGAGACAAGGTCTCACTCTGTAATTCAAGCTGGCCTTAAACCCTATGTAGCCTGGACTGGCCTCAAACTCACATCGATCCTCCTACCTCAGACTCCTGAGTCCTCAGATTACCCGCATCCACTCAAACTCTGAGGGAGATGGGGTTCGGTTTGTTGTTTGTTCTTAATATAGATACTTGCTATCTAGAGTCCAGTCTGATACATAGCCCAGGCTACCCTCAAATTTGTGATGAATATAAAGGAGAATAGTCATATTCTGGGCTAAAGCATATGCATATACTTAAGTTAATTTACCACTAGAAGGCTCTCCAGAATGCTTATATCAGTCTATCTTCCCACCAGCAGAGGACAGAGGTTACAGTATTTTTACATTGCTGCCAACATTTGATATTATCCAGCTTTCTAGTTCTTGTCAATCTAAAAGGTATAAAGTGCTATTTGTTGTTGTTGTTAATACTGGGAACTGAATGCCAAGTCAGGCCAGCACTTCACTACTGAAGTACATCCCCAGCCCCCCCCCCTTTTTTTTTGTCTTTTTGAGACAGGGTCTCGCTCTGCAGTTCAGGCAGGCCTTCAGCTCATTTTGTAGCCCAGGCTGGTCTCGAACTCACAATGATCCTCCTGCCTCAGCCTCCTAAGTGCTGGGATTACAGGGGTGAGCCACCACGCCCAGCTAGTCCCAGTCCTTTTAAAGAACCTTTATTATGATATAGGATCTCATTAAATTGCCCAGTCCTCCTGCCTCAGCCTCCCAAACAGCTAGGATTATAGTGTGTACCAGCACAACTAGCTACTATTTTAATTTCTGTATTTCTTATTGCCCACGAGTTTGTTTTTTTTTTTTTTTTTTTTTTATTTAAGGAGAAAAGAAAAGAAAGAAAAAAAAAACAGTGAAGGGGTACAAGTTATACAGATTTACAGGAGAAAAAAATGCGCAGTAGGAAATCACTAGTTAATGGATTAAATATTGCCATCTTAGAAATAATTGTTCAAGTCACAAAATTAAAGCTTGTAGAGTGGACATTCCAACAATGATACTGCAAACAGTTCTGTTCAATGATCCAATAAAACTCTGTGATATCATTTTCTATCTTATACATTTAAATATACATGCAGTTATATAGTTTAGAGCACTTTCTTTTCCTCTCTTTTGTACCGTGACTATTACACATTTTGGGTTTCATTGCTCCCACGGTTCTTACTGCTTTTTTGGAAGAGAGTAAAACCAAATGTGACATAACAGAACAGAATCGGTCAAGTCAAAAGGGTGGACACAATAGATAATATAAAAACATAATACAAGGTGATCAACAATGGTTACCATAATGCCTCCCGCTATTTCTAATAGAATTGCCTATATCATTAGTTGTAATACAATTGAACAAAACCGTAAAGAATAAAACCGACAAAACCAAAACATTGGAGATATTGTAGGTCTTCAAAAGTAGATAAAAGTCAACGAGAATGGGCGTTATAATGAATCTCATTATCTTCTCAGCTGATGCCTAAACTTTCGAACCTGATACTATCCAGCAAAACAGAATAGAGGAACCTCAGTCAAAAACAAGATGGTGAGAGTAATACAGGGCTTCAAATCGAGATAATAGAAAGTCAAAGTGGGTTACTATATTATATCCTGCTATATTTTTCCCTTTAATTAAATGGATAAAAATAAAAAAGTAAATAATGGAGTGGAGATTGAGAAAAAAGAGGGCATAACAGCGAAACAGGGCAGATCAAAA